TTGTTACCTCAGCAATTAAAAAGGCCATGTGAATGATCATCTGAGTCCAAGATCAAGCGTAAATTTTTGGCCAGTTTAATTTTTGGCCATATGTTTTAATTTTTGGCCCGTACCATTTGCAGCAAAGAGTTCTAATTTTGAGATTTTTTTTATCTGCAGGTAAGGGAGGAATGACAGAAATTTCTGCCCCGGTATCTATTAAAAATTGTGTAGCCGATTCTTTATCGCTGATCAAAAGACGACTCAGCTGCACCCCTTGTCCCTCCGTCGTCAATGAGAGACGGGGAGCTGGTTTTCCGGACTGTTTGTCTGTGATTCTGATGAGTAGTTGCAGAGTTGTTTACACTTAGACGACTTATCACCGAATTTTTTATGATAGTAACAAATATCACTAGATCTGTTACCACTGTAACTCCTATCTCGTGATTTGGATCGGTTACAACAATAGGGACGACTGTGGCGTTGCTTGTTTAAAGCAGAAACTTGTAAGCTAGTTCACTAACCTGTTTTTGTAAACTTTCAATCACTTCCGTTTTTCACCGTTATGTATGAGGCAGCAGCTATTTGGGGAGTAACAGGGTTTAATTCTCCCAAATCTTATCATACATTGTAGCCACTTTTGACAAATCTTCACCTACTAACAGATATAAGGCTACGCATATTAACGGGTAAACTTTGTAGCCACAATGTTTTTAGGAAATCTATTACTTTATCGCCCGCCAAATTACGCATCTCACACAGCAATTGAGATGGCTTTTTGTCACCCAGTTCGGTGCTACTTTGGTAGACGGTTGCACGGATTTTTGGCGATTTACGTTGGCGCAATTGTTGGCGCGATTTCTACAAACGTCAGCCATCTTGAAAAACGCTGTCTTTACGCATAGTAAAGTATTCAAAACTTAAAAAAAAATAAATATCGCTAGAAATAATGGATTAATTTTTTTGTTGAAAATGTCGTTTTTTAAGATGGCAGGCAAGTGTAAATAAATACATTTACTATGAGTATAAAATACTAAAGTAAGGTTATTATTACTTTCATATAGCAAAGAAGAGAATAAAAACACCGCTATAAAAACATTGTGCCAACGTTTAATTAGATTAAAATATTACTGAAATTGAACATCGAAATAAAAAACATCATCCAACATTTAAAAGAATTTATCATTAAATTTAAATACTTTAAAATACGTTATATAGAATATAATATATATATATTATATGGAATGAATACATTTACTACGAGTATAAAATACTAAAGAAAGGTTAAATTATTACTTTCATATAGCATAGAAATTGAATAAAAATACCACTATAAAAACATTGCGCCAACGTTTAATTGGATTAAAATATTACGTAAATTGAATATCGAATTAAAAGCCATCATACGAACGTTTAAAAGAATTAAAATATTACTTAAATTAAATACTTTAAAATAAGTAAATAAGAACGCTTCGTACACTAGAGCTAAAATGACAGCAATTAGTTTATTGTCGGTAAAAAAGGAGGAATGTCTAATAATTTTCTTACCGTTACAGCGGTTATTTCTTCCAACATGACCACAATATCATATACGACCGTCTCAGAATCGGCTCTTCTAACGGTCTTCATCTGTGATCTACATTTTCGCACTTCATTGAAGAAACAATTAGCGACGTTTTTCTCCAAAAATTTAAAATAAATTTCCTCTGACCCTTGTAAGAATTTATAAATAAATCTTTGATTAGGAAAGCCAGGCTGGCGAAAATAAGGTCTCAAGGGACAATTTTTTGATTCCGAAACCAAAATTCTTCGTACTTATCAAAAAACAACATTCATCTTTGAAGGAGACATTTTTGAAGGAATTCGAAGATATGAATTAAATTTAAAATGGCGCGGTAATGCACAAATTTTCAGCAACCCTATCAAGGAGCTGATTACAGCTCATTATGCACAAATATTCTATAACCAATCAGAGAGCTGATTACATCCACGCCTAGAATTAAAATTATTTAAATAATTATACATATAAAATCATTTTAAAAAAGAAATGCAAATCTAAATTGTATTTTAATATTTAACAGCCATAAATAATGTTTAAAACATTAGATTAAATTTATAGATATTAAAACCAATTACTTTTAAAGTAAGGTGATGTCACTGATTACATCATCCACAGCATAAAATTTCATAAAATATGATAAAGAATAAAATTTTTATTTCAAATAAAAATGCAAAATTAAATTGAAATTTTTTTGACGGAATTTATGCATAATAACACGCATTATTTTTTAAATAAAATGTCAACAAAGTATTGGTTACCATAAATAACTTATCCAGCAATGGGTTTACCATAAGTCGTATTACTCGCCAAAAGAAAAATTGCCAAAAACTCACCAAAATCCGTGCAACCGTCTACTAAAGTAGCACCCCCAGTTCTAATTCACTCAGTAATTTTGGGGTTTTTTGAGTTTCTGAATCAGCATATAATGAAATTAGTCTGTTTTTAATTGCCTCATATTTATTATCTTGTGGTGGACTTAGCAAAATATCAGATACCTGTGACAAAATATCGGGTTCAATGGAACTTGTAACATAATAATATTTTGTTTGATCTGCACTAATTTTTTGCATTTTAAATTGTTTAAATTGTGCTTCTAGTTGAATAAACCATATTTTAGGATCTGGCTTCCAAAAATGAGGAACTTTAACGCTTACCTTGGCGACAGATGCAGTTGTTGCTTTAATTTCGGTTTCGTCTTCGTCAGCCATTGTAGATTTCGATCGCGCCGGGATACACCAGTGAAGTGTCTGGTATGCAAATGTAAGAAAATAACACTTCTGTGACTCCAATGGAACCAATATTTTATTCCTTACGAAGTTATAGATTCTTATTCATAAGATTTATTTACATTTTACATGCACGTAGAATCGCGTGACAGAAACCCGAAGTTTGTTTACTTCGTTCTTCGCGGAGACTAGAAGGTGTTGCCATTCCGCTTTAACTAAATTTAATTAGAAACTTGACGGAACTGAAGCGACACTACAATGTCCTTTAAATGTTTCACTTTTATAGCTAACTGACTTTCATATCATTTTATTGCTAACTGACTAGATAGGAAGCTTTTCCTACGTAGTACTACGATTATTTTAACATTATGAAAACGTTTTAAAATTAAATTCTTACTTTCCGGTTGATAGTTTATGCTAATGATAGAAAAGAGAAGTATTGAGAAATTTAATATTGTACACTAAAGCCAATAGTCAGCCATTGATTGTACTTCATTAATTTGGTCGAAGCAAATCATAAACTATTATAAAACAAATTGAATGGCTTTTGTAAATTTTTTTCTAGTTCTTCTTGTCTCGGGACTTCTGAACTCAAACTAGCGGAATATAAATTAAAATAACAAGGGATAATATTAAGAACACATGTAAATATAGGAAACTGAATTCTGAAGTTTCTCATCCTATTGAAATTATTTCATTTCAGTTCTGTAAGTTCACCGGTTAGTTTCTTATTTGAATATTCACCATTGTTTGCGGTTATTAATGGTTTAGGTATCTAGAAGAAGATGTGAACTGAACTAAACATTCCTAAATTCGTGAAAAGGAAAGTTTGGGCCATCCGAAAAAGCGGCGACCGCTGGAATGAAAACAAACAAGTTGATAGATGTGGCTTGTTTCTGGCGCTGCGATCACGAAAACTGGAGGCAGTGTCTAAACATAGCTCCGAAATTTTTTAAATGAAAGTGTTTAAGTAAATGTTTTCAACTCTCTAAAAAATTTTAATGCACCTTTCCTATGCAATGTCTCATTCATCAAATTGAAAAGGAAACTTCGCTTCTTCGAAACTTCAGGTGTTTTGTTAGCTGTTCACTATCAACACGAGAAATCCAAAAGAGGCCCTGACACGGAATATTCAGATAAGTAACATTCTGTTTTCTATACAATATCTGTTTCTCTATCACTAGAGTGCCATTAAATTTCTTTATTTATTATTTTTCATAAGATTCTAGCATTATACAATAGTTGGTAATAGTAGCAGTCAAGTCATGTGGTTCTTTTTCTTCGTACTATTCCGTAAAGACGCCACATTCCTTATCAAGTAGTCCGTTCTTATCAGCAACTCACACCCTTCGGAGGCCCCCCTCTTCGTGCTTAGGAATTTCTTTTGAGAGGGAAAAAATGGGGATCTCTTGACCATCGATGAGTATAGATTGTGATTTTTGTAACTAAGATCCCCGACTTTTTTTTTTTCAGGTCTCAAACTTAGAACTATGAGCAAATAAAAATACAGTGTGACGGACTTTGTTAAACTTGTACTATAATAAATTACAACGGTTAAATTAATAAATTAATTTTATATTTAACTAATATTTAAGAAAAATAAACTGAATAATTTATTTTTGCTGAAATGCTCTCACACTGTGTATGGATTTTTGATTTTGTCAACTTTAGATTTTTGATTTTCTGAAATATACATGAATTTTTTGGGAACTGTAATATTTAATGATACTTTAGTTAAAATATTATGTACATCTCTGTGATGATATATGTCTTTTCTAGTTAGGTCTCAAGATAAGGGCATACACATTACCATGTAGGATTTCATTCATTTATTTTTTTTTTATTAAACTTAGCTAAAGTTTGCTTCTTAAAGGCCCTAATTTTTGCAGATGAACTCCTTAACTACACTCATGGACACAATCTTATTTTAGGATATTTTCTACTTCTTTTCCTTTTCTTTCTATAGGCCTTTTTTTTCCCCTCTATTATTTTTGGGCCATTTATTTAAAATTTTATTTTGTCCCATCTTTTCTTTCTGGCCTTTTGAACTCGTAAAAAATGTACGAAGTTCCTTTTTACTCTCCTGAAATACGAAATTGCCCCCCTTTCTATATACCTTTCCTTCGCACCTATGCTTGATTTTTCGCCCATCGGTGTAGAAAGACTTAGCGGGTGCAAAACAAGACATCTGTCTACTTTGTCTGTCTGTCTGTCCTAAATCCGTCTGACATGCGAAGCGAAAATTACACGTTTCCGCGGTATCTTTCCCCCCCGCCTCGCTGAATCTCATTCGGTCATTCCTCAGATGACTCATTCTGGAACTTATCTTCTACTTGTCATCGAAATTTTTTTATGTCTGAAAAGTGCGGTAATTTCTTCAATCTGTTAGAGACGAATATTAGTATCCTGCTGTCTGTTTTGGGGATTTAAAATGTTGTTTTCTCTGTTACATAGGTAAATTGTCTAGAAATAATGTGCTTTCTGTGATGTTTTCTTATGGAGGAATATTTAGGTAGAAAGGATCCCATGGCAGATCGAAGAGCAGAATTAGAAAGAAAGAGGCAAAAATTAGCCCTTTTACGTGAAGAAAAAGCGAGAAGGAAACGTGAGAAAGAAGCATTAAAGGTAATTCTGAAGTAATGTAGTATGTCATAGACAGAGATTTTGATTTGACACTTAGTTTTATTAACTTAAAGAAGTACGTGAAAATTTGTAACGAGAATTTGTTGATATGTGTTTTTTTATTTTCTGTGACCTGTTAAAATAAAATTTACGTTTTTTCTTGTCTAGTCAGAGGAATCAATAATTAATAGTTTGAAGCGAGAAAAGGATGTTTTGGTGGAAACAGACAAGTTGTTAGCCTCATTAAATGTGACAACATCAATATGTTAGTATGAAATGTATTCCTCATTTTGCGTGGTTTAATTTTTTTTTTTTTTTCCCCCTTTGTGTGTGTGTGTTTTAATGACTGAAAATGTTGTGTTATTATAAATGAGTTAAATGTCCATTTTTTGTGTAATTATAATAAAAGTGAAAAATTATTATTTAAGGACTATCATACGTTCATTTAATTTTTGAAACACATATTGGTTATGCAATATGTAGAGATGAAACTAATTAAAATTTTTTGCTCTAGTGTAGGATTGGGTGCCCCTTCGATTAGCAACAATTTTTTGTAAAATTTTGGCGATGAAATCTCATTTCTGGTTACCATGATAGTTTAACGTTGCTTTAGCCTCCTGATTTTTTTAAAATAAAAATAGATTGTCTACATGGTCAAATTTAAAGCAGTGCGCAATGCATAATTTCTGCATTTATATTTTATTTTATATGTCAGTATTGTAGGTGTAAGTATATTGTCAGATTCACAAACCAAATAAAACATCAACTGCATATCTGATTATTTAGATTTGCCTTTTATCTGGTTTTCCATTTATGTGCTGGTGTATTTGTAGAATAATAATGCTAAATTTTTAGGGTAATTTCAAAAATAAATTAATGGTCAGGTGTTTTTTCGTTTTAAGTAACCAGATAAAAGAATATGATAATCTTATATTGTGTTAGTTTTTCATTAGAGCTGTAAAAGTATGATCAGTTGTTTTGTTACTAAATATACCAGTGTTGTAATGTTTTTACATAGTTGTACGTTTAATTTTGGAAAATTTTGTTTTGGTTATCTTGAGTATAAAGGAATGAAAACCGTTCTTGTATATTATGCAGTCTGACTGTAACTTATGATGCCATGCTTTAGAAGGTCTGAAAATCATCCTATAATTACTCATAATCCTGTTTTCCCTCACTAAAAGAAAACAAATAAATAAATAAAATGTCATTGGAAGTATTGTGTATGGGGCTACAGACTGCCTAGATTTAATCCTAGTCATTTAAAAAATATTGACGAATCATTTAATTAATTTAGAAGTCAAACAACAAAAATCAGCATTATATTTTGAAATTTTCACAGGACTAGTTTCGATGGTTTTACCGAACCAACATCCGCAGCTGCAAAAACGCAAATGAAATAGATAAGATATAGTGATAGATAAGAAAGACTGGACAGGAGTGAAGCTACTGGTGCCATCTGTTGACGAAACCAGAACTAAAACATAATTTCTTTAACAGCTGAAGGCAAAGAAGAATCATTTAATCTATTGTGGTCTTAACCCTTTCGCGACGGGCACCTCTGTTACCGAAGCATTCTCTGGGACAGCATGTTAACCGGATGCATCATCCTGTGGGGACAGGTAATTTACGCTGCTAAGCCTAACTTTGGAAAAAAATTCGTATAAATTAAATTTGTCACCAAATTTTTCCAATTTTGGGTACATTAGAGAAACGTTTCAGGTATTGTCAGAATTATTTTAAGCCTTTATTGGTAAAAGTAAGTTAGGGTAACCTTGGCGATTTTGGCGGTCCAGATACCGATTTTGGCAATCTTTGACTCGTATTTGGCTTGAAAGCGGCGATTCCAAAAACGCCGCTACAAAAACAAAATACAAGACAAACATTGCACAATCGCTATCATGTACAACGCTTATTTTCACTAAAAAAAAAATCCCCGATTGACAAAATGGCATTGCCCTCCTTTACTTTGTGGTACACAACGATATATTTTCAATTAAAGTCAAAGAGTACCAAATTCTACAATATAGAACAAAAAATACATAATCTCAATAAATATGTTTTAAACCAAATAAAAAAACATAAAAAAGAAAAACATGTTCATTTTAAAGCATACCCAAAGAAATATTCACTTACCATGATTTTTAGTTGCTTCGTACAGCCGACGTTAAAAATCAAAATATCAATCATACTCAAATGACTTTTTTCAACCCGGTATCTTTCTGATCGAACCTTCACATAGGACCATCGACTTTTTCTTCAAAACCCATTCAAATCCATCTAAACGGTTTTTACGTTGACTAGACGCATATCCTCGTACATGAGGACATTATAATGGCTACTAAGTAAACCTTCATTTACCACCAGTCAATTGAAGCTCTTTTCCCTTTCGCTCAAAGTACAGAAACTTCAAATTAATCTTACTACATTCGGCCATTTACCTTAAAAGGATCAAACCAACCACTACAAAAACACTTACCAAACATCCATGGATCAAAATTCCCGATCATGCACCTGATTACGTCAAATGGGTTTCATAACATCAACTATCAGCTCCCATAATGAACAACACTGGCGATATCAAACAAATTCACATAATACACGGGTACCTATGTCTACTCTGCCCCTTTATTTATATTTTCTTAAGATTTTATAAAATACTCATTCTAGATAATAATTTTCCCCTTATCCCACAAATAAATATATATGGAAAAAATCCAAACATCGCAATTTATTTAACACACATTAAAATTTACAAATATAATAAAACTTCATTCATAAAATTCAATGAGCAAACAATGCAAAGTAAGTTTCAAAATAGAGTGTATGATATTCTTTGAATAGGGGTGTACCAAAGTAAACATTGCATAGTCCACAGGAATATATATATTCTCAATTTATTAGCAAATTGACTCTTTAGCATTGTATTGTTCTATGGTAAGATAGTGTTCGTTTTGCCATTTAAAAAAAAAGAAAGAAAAACTTTCGCTAAGCGATACAAATATCGTCGATAATGCCTGAAACTCAAAGAGTCATAAAAAAAGTATCAATGATAGAACATCTACTCCACTATAACCGATAAAAAAGTAAAATAAAAATAAGAAAAATTAATAAATTAAAAGTATTCCAGAGCATCAAGAATATGTTCATTTGTTTATATAAAATGCTGCAGTAAGAGCCATTACATTACTTAACAAACAAATTAGCGATTATGTATATTTTACATTTAGATACTGCTTCCGTTGCCATTAAAAAAAGATGCATTTTGCTGACTATTAAAAATATTCATCTCAAAGCTCGGGAAATCTAAGAGTAATAAATAAAAATCTCTAATGATAGAACGTCTGTCCCACTGTATGGCAAAAATAAAAATGAAAAGTACCTCAATGCAGCGAGAGCACGTGCATTTGTTTATATCAAATGACGCAGTTAAAGAGACATACATGCTCTACACCCACCATGAGCTCATCTCTTCCGAAACAAAATACCAAAATAAAATCATTGCATAGGAAGGTAGGTAAACATCTAACTTTCGATAATTTTCCCCAACAGCTACGCTACATCTAGCGCAACAAAAACTATTAATTAAACGTTCTATCAAAAAAGTCAAATGGGGTATGCTTGTCCGGTAGAGTGAATTAAATGCCAATTAAAATATGGCACACCCGGCCGTGAGGTAATGTTCGCTGCTGGTGCACATATGACACGCCCGTACTGAACGGTTTAAGTTACGCAGACATAGGAAGGCAAAAAAAGTGGAGGATGGCATATTATAATTATTAATGGTAATTTGAGCATTAAATATCTGATCAACACATCAGAGATTGAGTGGATAAAACTTACCTTGGTACTTGTTGTACTTGAATTACTAGTAGCTTGTTGTTGGTTTAATTCCTGGCAACCAAACAAGTTTCCTGTGTGGGATTTTCATGCTTTCCTAAAACTAATACAGTCAAAAGTCTTTAATCCGGACTCATTGGGACTTCGAAGATTCCGGATTATCATTTTTTCTGGATTATAGATCATCAGTTTAAATCTGGTAAGATGGCATGCAGAAATTATAAAATTAAAAATATGAAACCGTAATTTGTGAAATAAAGAGCAATTACGATCTAAAGGGTATCAAAATTTACAAAAAAAAAAAAAAAAAAAAAAAAAAAGCTTAATATTATTTGTTTACTTTATTAAACATTTCTTTCAACGTGCACATGCGTAAAGCATACATTACGCATAGTCGAAATTAGAAAATTTCAACCAGAAAACTATTGGATGTGCATTTGTGATATTTATAATGACGAGGAAATTGGTTTAAATTGTATCGGAGTACATCGAGATGAAACACTACATTTAGTGAGGAATTATAAGGCAAATAAAATAAAAACATCAGCCCTGAAGATGAGAATAGTGCTGACAAATCAACTTCAAGTTCATTGCACGCTGCGACGTCCCACCTCCCCGCAAAGCAGCGTGAAATTGATAAACAGATTTCGGAATGGTTTGAGAAACTAATCACTTCTCTGCCACTTTCTTCATGCCTTTATCCATTTTTTGCAGCAATTCCACTTTTTGTTTAATGGACATTAAACGTGCTTTTGCTTTGTAGATCCTTTGGCAGCTCCAGAATTGGAAACTCTTTTTGACATAATCGAAAGTTCAAGCGTACTTTTTATGAAATTGCTCTAACAGTCTGCAAAAAATAATAAGCCGGATCCAATTCAAAGATTAAGGAACAATGCAATCTGCAACATTAACTGAAATAGATAATTGTAGCTTAGCTTATACTGTTCGTTATACATTAAACGCACATGCGTAAAGGTATTATGTGCATGCATAAATGCATTGTGCGTTTACGCATGTGCAGAAAGTTTGTAGCTTTGAAATCCGGATTATGGACGTCGGGATTAAAGACTTTTGACTGTATCACATCTGTAACTACTCAGCAGCACATCAAAAGAAACAGTTCTTGGAATTTTCACTTTTGAATTATCCAATTGGTTGATTTATGCAAAAACCTGTTCTAACTTGTTTCTCATAGTCATAGGTATGAAAATCCTATAGAAGGTAACCCTTTCCTTTTGCAGAATACCCATTGTATTCTGTATTATAAAATCAGTTGCATCATTAGCTCAAAATTGTGTGTATTTTCAGACCAATTTATTAATGAAATAACGTGTGTAGCTGTGATTCATGTCTAATGTGTAACAACCACTAAATTTCTGTGTTTCAGTTACAGTATTTTTTAATTAATGTTCCAATTGGATGAATTTAAATATTTTGACTAAGTGCCAGCAAATGTGAGCATAATTTGCATTGATAGTTATACTATAAGGTTCAAGTGCTTATGCGGCATTCTTTTGCTATTAATCCTCCAAGCAGCATGATCTTTTTTTTTTTCTGTTTGGTAAGTTTGTTCCTCTTCTTAGACATTAGCTCCATCCCTAGTAATATTTTATTGTCTTTGTTTTCTTAAGGATGGAGATGATTTTTATAATTTGAAAAATCATGAAATAAATCTCGTGTATATTAAGGCAATAAATGCTATTCAAAGTTAAATCTTGATAAAATGGATCTGAAAAACTTCAAATTCAGTTGTTACATGAATGTCAAGAATTAATTATTTTGTTTTGTAAGGAGTTTTTTTTTAATTTTCCTAAAATTTACAAATATATTATTAGAAATCTTTCAATTGTGCAGATGTTAATTTCAGACATATTACTTTAAATTTCATTTATTTGGCATAATGTTAATTTTAAAATATTAATTAATAAGTTAAATAATAACGATCTGTTGCACAAAAATGGTTTGTAATTAAAAAGAGCACATTAAAAAATTTACCATAAAATAGCATTTTAAAAAATGATTAAATTTAATTTTGAAATGTTAATTAAATTTGTAAGGTGTGCTGAAATACTGATCAGAGCAGCAGAGATCCTGAACTTCTAAATCCCCTCAAACTATCATTTCATATATTTTTGATGACGAAAAATTAAGAGTTAAAGGTTTCTGGTGTTTCAACCAATGTTATGCAAACAAATATTTTGTTTCAGTTCTAATCCTTTATTCTTTTAAAAGATTGTAATGACACATAATATTTAAAATGAAATACATAATTTACATACAGATTTTTGTTTTTTTAACATGCTGAATTTTGGAATGGAATAAAGTGTGAGTTTTTATTTTTTATTTTTCAATGTTTACATATGTGTAGTTTATAATATTTTAATAAAAGTTCATGCGTTGTGAAAATTTTAGTAATACACACAGTCCATAAACTGTGTGTATTAAGGTTACAATACAATACGACGATACGATTGCTTATCTTTAGACTGTTCTGATTCACTTTCTTAGATATAAACACTAATAGATTTAAATGTTATCCAAGTATTTAAATTAATTTCAATGTCTGTTTCAGCTTCTCTGCCTAGTGCTTCAGATTCTAGCTTGTCAGATACTTCATTAAATAAATCCATTATTGTTGTACCTCCACCTCCTAAACCAAAGTAAGTTTTATTTATTTGATTTGAATTTCTTTTACTCTTTCTCATCAATAAAAATATATGTATGGCTATTGTTTTCATAGAGCAGAAAACAATGTTCTTGAAGGAAAAAAAATGCATAAAACTAATAACTCCTTTTGATGCTTTTTAAAATATTATATATAATTTCATGTGTATATGTTGATGATGATCATGACGTTGATAAGGCCCGCTTGTGAGAACTTGTGGAAGAAGATCAGTATGCAACCTCTCAAGAGCTTGCTAAGGAGTTGGACCTTAGTGTTATGTCCATTAGTTGTACTATGCATCACATAAACTTGACATACAAACTAAATCACTGGGTGCCATACAAGTGACTCTAGCTGATAAGGACAGACAACGGGCCTGCACTGATCTGCTCGGATATCAACACAAGCCAAAATTCTGGACCGGATCCATCACTTGTGATGAAAACAGGATTTACTTCAACAGCAGAGGCTAAAAAGGGTGTTGGTCTGCACCCAATAATCTGAAGGTTTAATACTGAAAGTTCAGAAACAAGGACTATGAAATTCAAGAAGCTAAGCACTCTGGCCTGCCTACTGATGTTGATGAGGCCTGCCTGCAAGAACATGTGGAAGAAGACCAGTATGCAACCATTTAAGAGCTTGCTAAGAAGTTAGACGTTAGTGTCATGATCATTAGTCGTGCTATGTGTTACATAAAACTTGACGTACAAGTTCAATTGCTGGGTGCTGCATGAGCTGACTTAAGCAGATAAGGGCAGACGTGTTTGGGCTTTCATTAATCTGCTCGAATATCAATGCAAGGACAAAATCCTGGACTGGATTGTCACTTGTGATAAAAAGTGGATTTACTTCAACAACAGAGGCCGAAAAGGTGGTTGGTCTGCACCCAGTGAGTGCGTTGGTAGCATTGCAAAGCGCAATTTGAGTAACAAAAAGATCATGCTTTGTATCTGGTGGGACTGCCATGGTATTATCCATAAAGAGTATCTGGAAAAAGGTAAAACCCTTAACAGTAAGGTGTTTAGCGAGACCTAGTCCATGTTGACACTGCTATTAAGAGAAAAACATTGAACTGAGTTCTAGCACAAAAAGGTAATGTTCCATCAAAATAATGCACGACCATATGTGTCTGTGTTTACCGGCTGGACTCTGTACATTCTGGAATGGTAGCAACAAACAACAGTAACAAAAAGATCATGCTTTTTGTAACAAAAAGATCATGTTTTGAGTAACAAAAAGATCATGCTTTGTATCTGGTGGGACTGCCATGGTAATATCCATAAAGAGTATCTGGAAAAAGGTAAAACCCTTAACAGTAAGGTGTTTAGCGAGACCTAGTCCATGTTGACACTGCTATTAAGAGAAAAACATTGAACTGAGTTCTAGCACAAAAAGGTAATGTTCCATCAAAATAATGCACGACCATATGTGTCTGTGTTTACCGGCTGGACTCTGTACATTCTGGAATGGAATCTTTTGCCACACCCACCATATAGTCTCGACATCACTCCTTTGGACTTCACCTTTTTTCCGTGCTGCAGCTACATCTTGCTGGTGCTGTCTTCCATTCTGCACAGGACATCTGAAATGAGGTTGATCTGTTTTTGGATTTGCTGCCACCAAGTTTCTGGACTGAAGGCTTTGAAAAAACATTGGCAGAAAATCATAGATTTAAGGTGGTGATTACTACCCACACTACTGCTTTCATGTTTTTTTTCCCCCTAACTTTATTAAAAACATTTTTTTGATGGAAAACTTCTGTTACAACCAGATATATGTGTATGTACATGTAATAGGATTGAAGTCATTTACATGGAGATGCATAAAATAGTTGAATTAAGAATTATAGTAGTCTTATCAACTTTAATAATTCTTCATTCTTATCTACAAATATTTTATGCCAACAGAGATAAATTGGCACAATAAGTGCAGATATCTTGCAGAACTATATTGGTATATCTATATTTTATAAATATATTCAAAGAAAAGAGCAGTAGCGAAGTGAGACAGAGAATGTGATGTGTTTGAGGTGATTGCCCTGTTGAGAAATGGTTTGGTTTCACATTTAATCCCTATTTGTTAATAAAATGTTTTGTTCCCAAATTGAAATAATTATTCACTGAAGCTTTTATCCTAAGTTCCTGCATCATTAGCATTGCGCAGGAATGATTTGCTGGAGGATAATGTAATCTGATTATAAACGACAATTTGGCTGATATATCTCTTTCTTCTGTCTTTATCTTTATCCATACTGTATATCCATCATTCAGCCTGTGGATATCTGAATTTTGCTTGCAAGAAAATATACTATAGGGTAACTACTTTTTTTTTTTTTTTTTCTTTTCTTTCTTTATAAAAAATAATTTAAGCTTCCTGAACAGCAGTAAGACTGTTCTAGAATTAAAAAAATATTTTAATGTTAAATCTACTGTGGGAAACTTCACAAGGTCATGGAAGGACATTGTCTACAGATATTTTCACAAATGCTTGACATAATTTATGGCGAACTATTATATTTCATGATGATGCTAATTATATTCTCAAATTCCGAATATCAAAAGGTAAAATTTGCCATTTAAGGGAATATATGAAGAAATGTAGAGAATTGTTAAGTGAAGATGATATAATTGAAGATCTCAGTTGCAATGACTATGCCCCAGTCGTAATCAACTGATGGCATAATCAATAGCAAAATCTGTAATATGTATTTAAATGCAGAAAATATTGCCATTGTTAGGGAATAAAAGTGACAAAGAGGTTGCTAAGAATAAAAAGATTTCTGTTGGCAATTTATTGGGAATTCTCAATAGGGCAATTGTGTGATTTGAACAATGGAACTTGACTGCTGAAGGAGGAGTAATTACTCTTCTTGTAAAATTGAAAAGATGAAAAGAAATTATGAGCCACCTTTCCTCCAGGCTGTTTAAACAACTTAATTTGAAAGAAATATTTACTAAAATAAAATAAATGTTAACATAGTTTTTAAAAAGAAACAAAAAATTTTGTTTGTTTAAGTTCATAAATGCTTTTTATATTACAGTCAACCAATTTTGTAATTTCTATAAATCATCTCTCAAGATTTAAAATGATAATTTGGAAACAACAAACTATTCCGGATGATTCCAAACCTTAGATTTTGTACTGTATTATTTTATAATATAATGAATCGTGTTTTAGATTGAATGACTTTTGTTCCCCCTTAGAAAGGTTAATTTATCTCTGGTTAAAGTGCATCAAACTTCTGTTCAGCCTCAAGAGAAAGTTGTGTATGACAAACAGACACAGACCTTGCATTCCAGCAGTGATAAAGAAGGTATTAAATAATAATATTGTCACCCTTTTGTAAGATGTAATAAGTATTATTTTTGGTTATGTGGTGTTGATTTTAGCTTGTCTTTTTTCTTAAGTTATGAACTATTTATAATAGGAAAGTTACCTTACTAAATTTGTTTCTGCATTATTAGTGAACTTATTTTACTTTATATATTTATTTTATTTTGCATAATTGCTTTTTAACATGATAACTTTTGCATGTAGAGCAGTGTAAACTTATAATTCGTGAATTCGATCTTTTCAGTGTTAATATTGTTGCATGCTCTATGGGTTCGTTATGAATTGAATGCACAAATCCGATGAAAAATGAACAAAATATATTATTAAATAAAAAAACAAATAAAACAAAATGCTTAAATTTCCTCAGATATTCGCACAGTGTTATAATATCTCACAGTAGTTATCTTTTAACTACTCAAATGTTCAAGAGAACTTAATTCAAAACAGCTAAAGAAAGCTAATCCGCGAATTTGCTACAGTCAACAAGAGCAGTTTTCTAAACAAACTCTTAAAACAACTAATGAATTGAGAGGTTTTCATGCCCCTTATATAAGCTTTTTAAATGCACGAGAAATTTCTGGTATTTCTTCGAAATCAATAAGAGATATTTAATTGAAATCTTGATCGAAATTTCTGGTATTTTCTCGAAATTAATAAGAAATATTTATTTATTAAATGTTAAATGCACGCGCTCTTGTATTTTTAATTTTCCGACTTAGCTTTCTTTTAATATTTGTCATGCGCTGCACTGCATGGGGAATAAAACAATTTTATTTATAATTCTACTAACATTAGCTATTTAAATACCAAATCTGTATCAATATGTTAAGTTGATGAAATAGATCTTTCATAAATTCATAAATATGGTCATTTTAACTTAATTTCAGTGCTGAAACTTAAAAATTTATTTCATTGTAACTTGATTTTACTGTTCAAACTTCTTACTAGTTGGCTGCACTTCATTTAAACGTTTTCCTTGAATTATTCTAATTTAGTTAACCAATCCTTCAAGGTAAGTTAAAAATTACTTCAAAAAGTGCAGATTTTGAAATTAAATATCCTGCTCATTTTCATCATTTAAAACCCTTCTGTGACTGGAATTGTATGGCTGCAACCAATAATTGAAAAAAATAAAGGCCAGGGTAAGGGTGTATGTAAATATATATATTTGTTTGGCACTGCTGATTGCAATAAAAAAGTGAGATGCACAGTATAATTATGCACAACTATAGCAGTCTCATGTACAAAATTTCAAAATTCTACGACTAATAGTTTTTGTGTTATGGGAGATACATATCTATAGACGTCATGAAAAAATCCCTTCTGAATCCGTTTTGGGAATAAAAAAAAAATCTGTTGTGGATACCACATGACTTCCTTGTACAGGATATTAAATTATACACACTTTTTTTTTTTTTTTTTTTTTCTTCTGAATTTCATTTAAACTTATTTCCTCAAATTTCATTAGAGATCTATTACTTATTCAATTCATTCAGTTCTCACTTCGTAGCAAAGCAAAAATACACAAAAACTCAAAACATCTTCATTAAAACATTGTAAAATACAGAAAAACATAAAATACAGTTAAAAAAATATACATATATTTATTTATTTATTTATTAACAATTTTTACTAAAAAACAAGCAATCTGGCCAGCAAGCAGGACGACTTGGTCGCATTTGGCATTCAAGTTGGTGCAGAAACTGACTTAATTCACTATTCTACTAAGAGTTTCAAATGCAAACAAATTGTTAATAAGTCTACAACTATTGAATTCAGATTAATTAAAGCCATAAAAATCTTAACAGGAACATAAGAACAATATAATTCATCCACATTTAAAGCAAAAAATACATAATTTACTAACATACAAAAATAAGAAAAGACTGAACTCACCGAACCGGGTAACAGAATCTGTATATACGGTGGCTCACAGAAATGATCGAAAACTTTGAATTTTTGTATTCTTTTAATGAACATTAAAAGTAAAACAAAAGGCTTTTATTTTATATAAATTCAATATTTTTATAGTAAATACATTTTTAAAAGATTAAAATTAAATTAAAAATCATTACCATTTTTTAATGAGGAAAAATAATCAAACAGTTTTAGTAACAGCCAAAAATGACAAAATCTTACATTCTTTTTTCTTCTTAATATCTTGTGGGATTACACTTAATCACTTCATTTAATCTTTTGGGCATTGACAACACAAGTTTTTTTTTTTTTTTTTTTTTTTTTTTTTTGTTTCTTTTGGACTTATTTTATGCCACTCCTCTTGAATCACTGCTTTCAGTTGCTGTCATGAAGCTATGCTCTGTTTTCGAATTTTCAGTTCTAGTTCCTGCGAAATATGTTCAATAGGATTAAGATCTGGAGATTGGGGTTGTGTGTTAATTACTTCTGGACACTTATATAACAGCCAGAGACTAAAACTATGTAGTATGCTTTGTATCATTGTCCTGGTAAAATTTAAAACTATTTTATAGTTAAAGTTTTTGTGCTGAAGATACCAAAATTCTCTTCAAGATGTCCAAGGTACTTATACTGATCCATAATACCATCTATTAAATTGGATATTACCAACACCAGACTTGTGCCATAGATCCCCATACCGTAACACTTCCTCCGCCATGTTTAACACTTGGTACTAAGTTTGGGTTCCAAAATTCTTGTTTGAGTTTTTTTTTTTTTCTCACCAGCACTCATCCATCTGAGCTGAAGATGTTAAATTTGCTTTCATCAGCAAACAGCACTTTTTTCCAGTAATTGGGTGTCTTTTGTGTCAGCCATTTTGTGAAAGTGAGTCTTTTTTTTTTTTTTTTTTTTACTTACATGAAATTTTTTTCTTGCTACTCTCCCATAATATCCTGCAGATTGCATCATTCTTCTTTCAGTTTCTGGATTTACAGATATTCCATATATTTCCCGAAGTTCCTCAACAAGTTTAGGAACACTCAGTCTTGGATTCTTTTTAATATTTCTTAGAATAAAGGGTTTCTATCCATCAGATAACTTTGATGATGGTCTTCCAGGTCTTGTTTTATTTTGAATGCAATTCTGTTTCTTATAACACTTAATAATATCAAAAGCTGTAGAATTACTTAAATTGATAAATAGGAAATTTTTCTAATAGGTTTCCCTCTCTTTCTTTTGATGCAAATCAATAACTACAGTCAAAAGTCTTTAATCCGGACTCATCGGGACTTCGGTAATTCCAGATTATCGATTTTTCTGAATTATAGATCATCAGTTTAAATCTAGTAAGATGGCATGCAGAAATTATAAAATTAAAAATATGAAACCGTAATTTATGAAATAAAGAACAATTATGATCTAAAGGGTATCAAAATTTACAAAAAAAAATCTTAATATTTATTTGTTTGCTGTATTAAACATTTCTTTCAATGCGCACATGCGTAAAGCATACATTACGCATAGTCGAAATTAGAAAATTGCAACCAGAAAACTATTTGATGTGTATTCGTGATATTTATAATGACGAGGAATTTGATTTAAATCATATCAAAGACGGAATACATTGAGTTGAAATACTACATTTAGTAAGGAATTATAAACCAAATAAAATTAAAACATCTATCCTGAAGATAAGGATAGTGCTGACAGATGAACTTCCAGTTCATTGCGCGCTGCCCCCCCCCCCCCCGGGCAGAGCAGCGTGAAATTGATAAACAGATTTCGGAATGGTTAGAGAAACAAAGGATATGCCTTTATCTATTTTTTGCAGCAATTCCACTTTTTGTTTGATGGACATCGAAACATACTTTTGCTTTGTAGATCCTTTGGCTGGCCTCACAAATTCTATTTGACATAATCGAAAGTTCAAGCTTACTTTTATAAAATTGCTCTAACAGTCTGCAAAAAATAATAAGCCGGATCCAATTTGAAGATTAAGGAACAACGCAATTTGCAACATTAACTGAAATAGATAATTAGATAATTTTAGCTTAGTTTATACCGGTCGTTATACATTAAACGAGCATGCATAAACGTATTTTGCGCATACGTAAAAGTATTATGCGCATGTGTGAACGCATTATGTGTTGCCGCATATGCAGAAAGTTTGTAGCTTTGAGGTCCGGATTATAGATTATTCCGGATTGTGGGTGTCCGGATTAACGACTTTTGACTGTAATCTGTAGGTTTCTAACGATGTTTCCTTTCATGGCTGAGCCATTTGAGGAAAATATTAAAATAACAAATATTTTCTAAAAATTAAGAATTGCAACCTCACCTATTAAACCTGATATCGATTTGCTTGTTCAACAAAAGCAAATTTATCCATCTCTTTAATTTGAATTTTGTCCATCTTTATGAAATACAAACTAAATGAAATGAAACTTTAACAAATTAATACAGTCAAAAGTCGTTAATTCGGACACCCATAATTCGGAATGATCTATAATCCGGACCTCAAAACTAAAAGCTTTCTGAGCATGCGCCACGTTGACACATGCACATAAGCGTTTACGCATGCGCGTAAGACCTTTTACGACTGCGCATATGAGTGTGCGCAAGTGCAGAATACGTTTTCGTGTGCATGTTTTATGTATAATGGACGTATAAGCTAAATAATTATCTATTTCAGTTAATGTTGATGATTGCGTTGTTCCTTAATTTTCGAATTGGATCCGGCTTATTATTTTTTGCAGACTGTAAGAGCAATTTTATAAAAGTAAGCTTAAACTTTCGATTATATCAAAAAGAATTTCCGATATATATTTGTTAATATGTAAAGGATCTAAAGCGAAAGTATGTTTTGAAATCCGAAATCTGTTTATCAATTTCACACCGCGGCGAGCGCATAATGAATTGGAAGTTGAACTGTCAGCACTATCCTTATCTTCAGAGCAGATATTTTTATTTTATTTGGCTTATAATTCCTTACCAAATGTAGTATTTCATCTCGATGTGCTCAGTCTTTGATATGATTTAAAACAAGTTCCTCATCATTATAAT